CAACAGCTCATTGACCTCACCACGCGTTCTCAGAGGAGGTTAGAGCATCTTCAATTCTCTAATGTTGCTGTAGAATAATTTTTGACAAATGTCAATAAATTAAACGGATTGTGAAAAATGTAGGAAAAATGTTAAGTTAACAACTATGAAATTTAAAAATTATCTACAACGCACAATGTAGTCTAACTACAATATTATCTATTTACTACCCATTGAATCTTATAATATATAGTAAAAAATTTAATTAAATAATTAAATAATTTAGAATTGGTAAGAATAATTATCTCTTATCTTTATTGGCTAGCTAAAGTGTGGAGGAGAATGTGGATGAACCACATTCTTCTCTACATTGTAGATATTAATTAGAACATCGAGGAATGCTTAAATGTAGTCGTAGTAAATTACTCTCTACATTAACATGTTTAGCAATTTATCCACTTTTAATCCTCCAATGCACAATGTTATTACAAATGTAGTGATGAGGTGGACATAATTAATGTCTACAATGTAGAAAAGAATGTGGTTCATCCATATTGTCATTCACATTCTACTCATCCAATGGAGAAATGAGAGAGAAATATTATTACCATTTTTAAAGTATCTAATTATTTAATTCATTTTCTTTCATATTAATAAACTTTTTATTTTGGCCAAGTGAACAATATTGTGTTTGATTCATAGTTCTTAAACCCGACCAGGAAATTGACCCTGGTAAGTCTCCGGGTCACCTGTTCAATTGTCAGGTCACCAGGTCAATTGCTGAACCGGATATTTAATTTTTTTTTTAAATTATATATATATAGTATTTTTGACATATAAATGTACATGAAACTAACAAAAATAAATGTTTTGTATATGAAATTTATACATCAAAGTGTTAAAAGAATTGTATCTCACAATAAATATTTACTATATCAATATATTTACATAGTTTTTATATTTTAATATAAAAAATATTAAAAAACAAAAAATATATATATGGACCGGGTCAACCGGTTTGATCCGGACGGATCAATGACCCGAGTCGACAAGGTCGAGGCCGAGTTGGCCGGGTTTTGACCGAGTTTGACCGGGTCCATTGTTACCCGGTCCAAATAGCCCATCCGGACCGGTTCCAGCTCCGGGTTGGCCGGGTCCCGGGTCGACCCGCCGAGCTGGTCCAGGTTGAAAAACAATGGCACAATTTTTTAGAATTAAAGTTGTGAACCTAATAATTATCTTACGTGGTTCACAATCCATCTAATTAATTGACATTTGTCAAAAATTATGTAATAACAACATTTATGCATTGGAGATGCTCTTATGTCCACGTTCATCACAACATTGATTGTGATCACATTGTGCATTGAAGGATGAAAAGTTGTGACATTGCTAAATATGTAGATGTAGAATGTAATTTACCACAACAATATTTGAGCATTGGAGATGTTATCTTATATGCCTAATTGATTACTCTGATTTCATCTCCAATAATTTTTTGTTCAATTCACGTTTATTTTTGGTAGGATTTACATGAATATATTTACATTTTATTCTCATTATTTTATACTGTCTCTCCTTTTGTTAATAAGTGTCATTTTGAGAAGTTGCACAGTAATTAAGAATCCTTTTTTTGCCAATAATAACCCTCATTAATGAGGATAGAAATGGATGTTTTGAGAAACGATGAAAAGTGAATATGAAAAGACGTAGTATATTTATTAGTTAGACGAGGGTAATAATAAAAAAATTATGTACAAAAGATCCAAAAAGTCATTTATTTGGTTAATTGTTGATAAAGCCAAAATGACATAAAAAAAGGAGGAGGTATTAAATTTGATATCAATAATATAATTTAATGACTTATATTATCTTACACATAACTATTTACATTTTGTTATCATTATATTAAATTAATCTTAATACAAAAAATATAATTTAATGACATATATTATCTAACACATATCTAGTTATTTAAATTTATTAATATATGATAGAAAATATACAATTAAATACAACATTATCTCTATCAATATTATTTTATTTATTAGAAGAATAATCAAATATTTCCTACAACATCAAGAAAGTTATAAAGCTAGTGAATTCCACATTATATATATCAATTAAAAGATTAATGAAATATTTCATACACCATCAAGAAAGTTATAGTGAATTCTGAATGGGTAATCTAAATCATAAAATTGTTATTAACAATGTCAAGATTATTCTCTTACCACCAATATATATAGATGTTAATACTATTTTATTTAACAAAATGTTTTCAAAATTATTAATACGTAATATAAAAAAATAATTAATAATATATAAAATAAAAAAATAATATAATATATAAAAAGAAAAATAAACAAAAAATAAACTAGTTTAGTAAGATGTCGCGAGCATGCTCGAAGAATGGTGCAAACATGGGGTTGAGAACAATTCGGCACGCTCGAAGTCAGTAGAGCCACAGAATATAATTATTTTAAAGTTGTAAAATTTTATGATTTTCAATAGTAAAATTTGACACATTAATATTTAGTGGTGGGAACGGAACCCTAAAAGCCACACGCCACTAGCTCAATCTAATTCGAACTAATTCATTCAAATTCAGAGTAAAATTTGATAAATTAATAGTTAGTTCATTATTTTTTAAATTTAAGGATATGTGTTACCAACATTTTGATTTTAAAATACATGTTATTTACCTTTTGATGTTAAATATCATTGATTGGGATACTTACATAAACATATGCATATATACATAAATAATATATATGTATGTGCGCACGCGTGCGTGTGTTTGTATGTGTGTGTATAGACTCGGGTAGAAGCGGCGGTGGCCCTCCTGAGCCACATGGTGATCTCGAGGATCTTGAGAAGTGATCTTGAGGATTCTAGCTCTAATTCAGAGATCCACCAGCCATTGACCTGACAGCATTCTGAGGGTGCCTAATTGATTACTCTCATTTCATCTTCAATAACTTTTTGTTCAATTCGTGTTTATTTCTGGTATGATTTAGATCTTAATTGATTACTCTCGTTTTATCTCCAATAGTTTTTTGTTCAACTCGTGTTTATTTCTGGTATGATTTAATTAGGCCTAACTCCAGCGTAGCGATATTTTGTACATGTCGCTAACTAACACTCAAATTCTTCCTTACTTTACGTGAATATTCACATTTTATTTTCATTATTTTATTATCTTATACATGTATACTAGTACAACGCCCGTGTATTACACGGGTGTTTGCTAATTTTTTTTTTTAAATCTAAAATTAATGAGAAAAAGTAGTTGAAAATTTAAATACCTTTTATAAAAATATATATTATTATATATTTAGTATGACACTTTTTATTTGTGCAACTTACATGTGTTATATTATAATAATTTTTTTAACTTACAACATATAACTACATTAAGCATAAATATATCAATTGAAAAATAATTTTATTTTTCTAATGAAATCTAATAATTATTATTATTTTTTATTATTATAAATATAAATATAATTTATTTATTTTATATATACAATATGGATGCCAAATCGAAAATCATCAAAAGATGATTAATTTGATATATTATATATGTAAAACCGATACGAAATACAGAAGTTATCGACTTTTAAAATACATATATAATTCAATAGTTAATTGAAGGAAACAAATCAAAAGTCAGGGATATATTAGTCACTTAGTGCCTCAGTATGTAAAATTACAAAAAAATAAAGGGTTATATTAGTACAAGTGATATTAAAATACTACTTAGCTAAATAATATTTATGGAATGTCCAAACCTAAATTAATAATTATTAATATATTAATATTATTTGTCCAAACCTAATTACGAAGCATGATTATTTGCCAAGTAAGATTCCGAAACACCAAAAACAACCACGTTGGCTCAGCACATTCTGGAATAATATATAGGGAGGATTTACATGCTCTGCTCTCTGCCCAACAATTCCACAATGGATTTTGTTATTAAATGATATATATTATCTAACACACATTTTTTTGTTAATGATATATATATAGGGAGGATTTACATTTTGTTAATGATATAGGGAGGATTTACATTTTGTTAATGATATATATTATCTAACACACATTTATTTTTTTTTTTCAAAACATAAAAATTTTATAAAAACCACACAAATGTACAAACAAAGAAACAACTTAAACTGAATTAAACAGCTAAAAACTGAATAAAAATGGGAAGGCAGATCCAACGATCGCCTAGATTTATGAGTTTCTATTTTCTTAATTGCTTCTAGAATGTCGGTAGTAATTCTCATTGCAGGACAGGAAGTCGTGTAAAGTTTTTAAACCAAGGATAATGCAATGTTTCCGCGTGAAAGGTACTTTTAAATAAATATTAATATCAAATATGACATATATAAATCAAGCCTTAGTTTAAAATTTCTGAGAAAGGTATTTTTAATCATATTTTAAATCATTTTATCAGAATTTATTTATTTTTTAAACAAACAATAACACAATGATGGATAACATATATATATTAATTTAATTTCAGGAAAAAAAAAACAATTATTGCTAAGATTGGATTACACGGTCTTAATTAATAATTAGCTGTCCGTATAGTAATAAATATAATTTTGTTTACTACTAACAGATCACATGGAATTTGTTGGCTCAAAACTCGTGAAAAGATTTCAAAATGGACAAAGAAAATTCACATATTATCTGTTTATTGGTCAATGGATCTCAGTTTGTTGATCCAAAATATATTCAGTCACAACTGTTAATCGAATCGAAAAAATACAAATAAAGTGTACAAATTAATGAACCAAAAAAACAAATAAAATAAAATGAAATAAAATAAAGAAGCATGTGTTCCATCCCATGTACATGCCCGTTTTTTATACTCTATTCAACCACACACTACCAACCTCTTGCTCCAATTAATTCAAAACATAAGTAGAAATTCCTTTTTTCCAATTTTTTTTTTTTTCCTATACACATTAATTTATTATGATTTTTTACAAAATGAGCCCCGATCGTCATGCAGGCGACTCGTACGAAAGTGGCGATTTAGGCGATTTTGATCTGTACCGTTCCCTCTCTCGGAGCTTGTGTCGATGGTGATTGTAACCGCTCTCTTTTTTCCGGCTTTCTGTATTATGGTTGTTGTTGTTGTTATTACTATTATTACTATAATCCCTCGAGCTCTCTTTTTGAGAGTCACTATCGGTCGAGACGGCAAACACGAACGTGCCATAATGGATGTCCTCCATATCCTTCAACGGCTCTAGGTCTTGAATCACCTCGCCAATGGTGGGCCTAAGCTTGGGCCGGTGGCTCAAGCACTGATATGCCAGGGTCGCGGCCCGTTGGGCCCCTAGCTCAGGGTACTGCCCCTCGAGCCTCGGGTCCATCAAGCGGTTCAACTTCCGGGGACTCTTGAGCATGGGCCTGGCCCACTCGACAAGATTCTGCTCCCTGTGGGGCCGAGTTTTGTCTACCGATTTTCGGCCCGTCAGGAGCTCCAGGAGCACGACCCCGAAGCTGTACACGTCACTCGCAGCTGTTAGATGACCTGCAAAACAAAATAATTCAATTTTAAATAATATAAATTATTTCAAAAAATTAAGATAGAGACATAAAAAAAATGTTCGGAACCAAGCTCGAGTTTGATTTGGGTCAACTCGCCGAGCTGGGTAACACTGTAAAAGTGATATTTACGTGTAGTAACTAGATTAGATTAGAATGCGATGAAATTACCTGTCATGACGTACTCGGGTGCGGCATAACCTGTGGTACCCAAGACTCGCGTGGAAACGTGCGTGTCGTCTCCTTGTGGGCCGTCTTTGGCGAGCCCAAAGTCCGAGAGCTTGGCATTGTATTCCTAATGTAAGACAATTAATCAAGAGTTAGAGTTGAATGAGGCATGACCAAAAGGAGAATAAGGCATCTCATATGCAGAACTTACCGAATCGAGCAAAATGTTCGAAGCTTTAAAGTCGCGGTATATAACCGGTTTTTCGGCTTCATGGAGGAAAGCAAGTCCTTTGGCCGCTCCAAGAGCAATTTTCATCCTTGTTGACCATGGGAGTGAAACTGAATATCCTGTAATTTATGTACAACCAAAGTAATTTCAGAATATAATTGCATTTTTGCCCTTTTTTTTTTTTTTTTT